GAGCAGTCGCCAGAATTAAGTGCTGCCGGAGCAATGGTAGTCGTCGGAGCAATGCAAGAGGTGGGGTGGGTTAATTTTATTATATTACAATTAAATATTTAATTTAATATAATAATTCTGAAATGTAATTAATTAATTTAAGAAAAACCTGAGTTTTGTAATTTAAAACTTTGGTACCTGATTTTTAATTTGCTGAAAGTAAACCCCTGAACCATAAACTTTTCCCATTCTATCATGTGCGGGCTTTGTAAAATATGAGCTAACATGATTTCAAGGGTGTCAAAAACAAGTGGTTGGACATTTTGTATTTAGTGTTGATTAAAAAGATTGATTTGAGTGATGACTTTAAAATCAAAATTAAACCTAACAACATTACCAAAGTTGTACAGAACCAAAGAAAACGCCAAAAAATAGGTCAAAGTAACACGAAGAGAAATTGCTGCAAAGTCGAGGCAATAGTTGGACTCTTTGTCCTTAAATCGATTTTGCCCCGCAACGTGCCAACGAATGATGACCATTGAAAAGTGTGTTTTGCACACTTATTTAGGTCACAAAACATGAAAAATTGTTGATATATATATTGAAATATGGCTTAATTCGATATAATTTGTGTTTATAGGATTACATTGATGGATGGAATGAAGAGTATGAGAAAATGAATGAAAATGGACCAAAACGGAAGGATATGAACTCTGAGGACCAAAATGCGATTAGTCAAAAGATGACCCGAATGGTGAATCAAGCATGGAATTGAGCTAAGTAACACATTGTGATATCATGGGATGGTAGAAGAAGAAGGAGAAGGAAACAAGGCCAAAAAGTGGATGAAACAAACTTGGGGACCAAAGTGAAAAAAAAAAGGAAAAACAATTTCTACCATGCTGTTGCATGGTAGAAAGTCCATGCAGTCGCGCAAGAATTTACAAGAGTTGAACAGTAAAAATTTTGTATAACCATGTTGTCGCATGGGTTTATACCATGCAGTCGCATGGTTCATTCCGAGCGCGAAAATTCTGGTTTCCTTATTTGAATCAAACACTTATGATAATATATCTAGGACTTCTTTATAACCCTAATCTCATCCAGAAAAGGGGGCTACGCATTCTTAGAGAGAAAAACACCATTGGAGAGCAAGGAAGAAGACAAGAACAAGGGATTTCATTCAAGATTCAAGATTTCAACCCTAATTCTTAGTTTTTTGGTGATATCTTCTCTTTATTATTTTTATTATTCTTTTCTTTTATCCATGTTAGGCTAGACTTTTTATGTACTAGGTGAACGATGAACTTCGCATTGTGAACTCTTATTTTTATTTTTCAATTTGATAATTAAACACGTTTGATGGTTTTGAATGATTTATATACGCTTCTTGTCTCCGTGATTATAGTGCACGATAATTGTGTGAGTTTAGGTGATTTATTTCATGCATTCGAAAGAAGGGAAATAAATTCAACAAGGTATAAATCGTCGTTTTGTTCATAGAGGATAGAAATATACCAATATGCATTACGTGAATCTCTAAGTGTTTACAAAACTACATGCATCCTTATATATTGCATTTGTCATAGAAATATAGTCAAATGGTATACTAGGATAGGTTCAATTCTACTCGAAAGAGATTGTTGGATAGGTTAGAAACATTGATTCTTCAAACGATTCATCGTGTTGTCAAATTGTGAGATAGGGGTTAAGAGTGAACTTTGCTTGGTGATTCGGGATCCTAGTGCGCTTTTCCATATATTAATTTTCTCAAACTTTGCATTCAACAATTGTTTTACAATTACATTGCAATTCTAGTTTAATTTGCATTTTATTTACAATTTCATATTAAAATCACAAAAACTACCAATTTGAGTTTTATAGTTTCGGTTAAGGTTACAATAATAGAAATTAGGTTAGATCAATCCTCGTGGGAACGATACTCGAAATTTTACAATTTCCACTTTATTACTTGTCAACGAATCGCACACTTGCGGTGATTTAAATTCGAAACATATTTTCGTGAACAAGTTTTTGGCGCCGTTGCCGGGGATTGAGTATTAACTTGATTTTTGTTATTTAGACACTAATTCGAACTTGTTTTCTTTAGTTTTATTTTATTTTTCGTTCAATTACTTAGGTTGAGCTAAGTGCTGCTACTATTTTTGCCTTTTCAGGTATTGCATGCGAAGATCAATCAGCTGTGAATTATTTCAAGTTGATTTGGAAATTGAACGAACCTTTCATCGCAGACAGAGAGAAGCAAGAGCAGCACATCAGGTCAATCAAGGACAAATCGAAATGGCTGATCAACAACTGGAACCGAGGATAGGTCATGCAGCGCCAGCCAATGCTGAAGCTCAGGATGATGGGAATACTATACTTGGGGATTTTCTAGCACCGTACGTTGTTCAAAGCCAGTCCAGCATCGTTTACCCAGCATTCGGACAGCCGAACTTTCAACTGAAGACAAATATCATCCAACTCTTTCAGAATGGACATCAATTTTACGGAACAGCCAACGAGAATCCACATACACATATATCCCGTTTCTTGGATATGTGTCAACACTTCAAATACCCTGGGATATCAGAAGATGCAATCAGACTAAGGCTGTTTCCGCTAACTCTTCGGGATAAAGCAATTGAGTGGCTCGATTCACTCCCGGTGGCGAGCATAACTACTTGGAATGACTTGGCTCAGAAATTCTGCACCAAATACTTCTCACCGGCTAAAGTGGCGAGATTGAGGCACGACATATCAATTTTTAGCCAACATGAAACTGAATCACTTGATGAAGCGTGGAGTAGGTTCAAGGGCATGCTAAGAAAGTGTCCTCAACATGGATACGACAAGAAAGAACAAATCAGATACTTCTATTGGGGACTAACACCAACTTTTAGAAGCATGGTAGATTCGTCATCAAATGGTTCCTTAACCACCAGGTCAGTCGAGGGAGCTTGGGAGTTGTTTGAGAGAATGGCTAATACCTCAGCCATGTGGTCTACAGATAGAGTGGGTGCAAAGAAAGCAGTTGGAGTGTATGAGGTAGATACCTATTCGGCATTATCTGCAAAGATTGACTCCTTATTTCACAAGATAGAGGGTATAACACAGACCGTGAATTCAGCACAAGTGAAGAAGCCCAGTTGTGA